TTATCTTTGTGTATGGTGGAAGAGAATGGTCGAGTTTCATTCTTCTACATATAGCTGTCCAATTTTCCCAGCACCATTTATTGAAGAGACTGTCTTTTTTCCACTGTATATTTTTTCCTGCTTTGTCGAAGATTATTTGACCATAGAGTTGAGGGTCCATACCTGGGCTCTCTACTCTGTTCCACTGGTCTCTGTGTCTGTTTTTATGCCAGTACCATGCTGTCTTGGTAATCACAGCTTTGTAGTAAAGCTTGAAATCAGGTAACGTGATGCCCCCAGTTTTGTTTTTCTTTTTCAACATTTCCTTAGCAATTCGGGGTCTTTTCTGATTCCATATAAATTTTAGGATTATTTGCTCCAGCTCTTTGAAAAATACCAGTGGAATTTTGATCGGAATGGCATTAAAGGTATAGCTTGCTCTGGGCAGTACAGACATTTTAACAATGTTTATTCTTCTGATCCAAGAGCATGGAATGGTCTTCCATCTTTTTGTGTCTTCTTCAATTTCTTTCATGAGTGTTCTGTAGTTCCTCGAGTACAGATCCTTTACCTCTTTGGTTAGGTTTATTCCCAGGTATCTTATGGTTCTTGGTGCTATAGTAAATGGAATCGATTCTCTAATTTCCCTTTCTGTATTTTCATTGTTAGTGTATAAGAAAGCAACTGATTTCTGTACATTGACTTTGTATCCTGCCACATTAATGAATTGCTGTATGAGTTCTAGTAGTTTGGGGGTAGAGTCTTTTGGGTTTTCCATATAAAGTATCATGTCATCTGCAAAGAGAGAGAGTTTGACTTCTTCATTGCCAATTTGGATACCTTTTATTTCTCTTTGTTGTCTGATTGCTGTTGCTAGGACTTCTAATACCATGTTGAACAAGAGTGGTGAGAGTGGGCATCCTTGTCATGTTCCTGATCTCAATGGGAAGGCTGTGAGCTTTTTCCCATTGAGGATGATATTTGCTGTGGGTTTTTCATAGATAGATTTTATGAAGTTTAGGAATGTTCCCTCTATCCCTATACTTTGAAGCGTTTTAACCACCTTACACCAGTTAGAATGGCCAAAATTAGCAAGACAGGAAACAATGTGTGTTGGAGAGGATGTGGAGAAAGGGGAACCCTCTTACATACACTGTTGGTGGGAATGCAAGTTGGTGCAGCCACTTTGGAGAACAGTGTGGAGATTCCTTAAGAAATTAAAAATAGAGCTTCCCTATGGCCCTGCAATTGCACTACTGGGTATTTACCCCAAAGATACAGATGTAGTGAAAACAAGGGCCATCTGTACCCCAATGTTTATAGCAGCAATGGCCACGGTCGCCAAACTGTGGAAAGAACCAAGATGCCCTTCAACAGACGAATGGATAAGGAAGATGTGGTCCATATACACTACGAAGTATTATGCCTCCATCAGAAAGGATGAATACCCAACTTTTGTAGCAACATGGACGGGACTGGAAGAGATTATGCTGAGTGAAATAAGTCAAGCAGAGAGAGTCAATTATCATACGGTTTCACTTATTTGTGGAGCCTAACAAATAGCATGGAGGACAAGGGGAGTTAGGAGAAGGGAGTTGGGGGAAATTGGAAGGGGAGGTGAACCATGAGAGACTATGGATTCTGAAAAATAACCTGAAGGGTTTGAAGGGATGGGGGTGGGGGAGGTTGGGGGAACCAGGTGGTGGGTATTGTGGAGGGCCCGTATTGCATGGAGCACTGGATGTGCTGCATAAACAATGAATTCTGTTACACTGAAAATAAATAAATAAATAAATAAATAAATAAATAAATAAATAAATAAAAGAATGAATCAGGAAGAAAGAAAATCTGGAAAGAAATAATCTTTGCACCTACAATACTGAGGATTCTAAATAAATTGCTGAATGGGTGAACAAAGAAATGAATGGAATAATAAACAGATTAGGAACTAAGTATCATAAACTCTTATTAATCAGAGGTTTCTGGATTACTAATGACTAAAGAAAATAGGACATATGAAAATAACCAAATCTATTTACATGTTAGAAAGTATCTATTGTTTGGAATCAGGCTGTAAGCAAAAAGATTCTAAACGTTCTGATTCTAAATAAATTCTAAATGTTCTGAATCCAAACAGGCTACTATCATGTAGTGATCTTTGCCAATAAGTGATACCGTAGCTAAGTACCTCTGTCCCCAAGACTGAACACAGTGCTATATACTTGATAAAGGCTCAGTAAACACTTAAAAAACCAAATACCACTAATGAAAATGTCTGTAAATAAAGCTACAGGCAGTTCTACCAAAATAAGAGGCTCTATAATGTTTACTCTCTGATTAGAAATAGAACAACTAGTGATATAAAGGTTAGTCCATTCTGTGCCATTAAAGAATGATGCAGAGTATGAATATGTCTAGGCTTGGTTTTATTTAATAAAAACACTGTATAGCATAGGTATCTCTAGTTGCACTAATACAATGGAATCATTGAAAAGATGGATGCAACTGAACCAAAGTTAAGTTTATATGAATTCGGGCCTAGGAAGTCATCCTCCAAACCTGTTCATGATTTTGATTTTCATTGCAAGCTTACGATAAAGTGTTACTTGAAATTTTTTTGAAGAGTAAAGGCAAATTCACAATAATGAGGACAGTGTTTCTTGTCACATATGCAGCGGATACCACAACCATTATGATTTATGCATAGTCCAAAACAAGTCTTTGAACCTAGAAAAGCTTTTCTTAGGAACTCTACTTATGAAAAGAATGATAACTTTCATGAAGACACTCTAAAAACAAAGAGAAATCCTTACCTCTTGCAGTTAAATTTCAATAAAAATTTCAATTAATGTGGAGCCTTGGATTTTTCCTGTAACCCTCATATTAAATTTTGTGCTCAGTATTAAAGGAATTAAAGTCAATTTCTTTACCAATGAATTATGAGGAACACAAATTAAGATGAAAGAATGAACTGGGGATATGCATGCAAATATTGTGCATTCATATTATTATACAGCATAATCTGTAAATCTAGTACTAATGAGACTCAAGATTTAAATGGCTGAAGAATGTGTTTAGTGAATTATTGTCAATCAATGCCTCTATTCCAGGATAAACGTAATCTTGAAAGGCAACACACCTATTATTACAAATTCCTAAGTAAGTACAGTACTTCATTATTTCAAAATGTCATTGTCAATTTATAGAGTAACAGACAAACATCTTTCCACCATATACCTGATTACCTTTTCTTTAGAGTAAATGAAACACTGACTATTAAGGAAAATTACAAACGTCATTTTTCCAGCAATAAAAGAAACCTAATGTGTGTAAAACTCTAAACTAATTACAGCACTCTAAATTTTCATATTTGTTAATATGGACACATCAGGTTTTATATCACTGCAATCAAGAATTATTCTTTTTTCAAGTAACATTATTTCATGCAAATTCTTCTAAATACTAATTTATTCAATCATTTAATAAACATTTACTGAGTACCTACTTTGTCCTAGGTACACTCTTAGGGGATAGAGTTATAAATGTGAATATGATACAACTCTGGCTCTTAAACTCACAGTCTAACAGAAGAAAGAGACAAGAAAATAAGGTAAAATATAGTAGTTCTACCTTATATTAAAATTATCTACATGTTTTCCACTTGCAATAGCTAATGGGTATTATAATGAAAACACTCACTATAGCTGGAAGTTTTTCTTCATTGCTCAGAAATCAAACTTTCCCTACTTGTCTATGAAAAATTTTTTTCAATTAAAAATATTAAGAAGGACAACTTAAGAAATACCTGTGAACTGAGCATTTCAAATTAACAAATGCTAATATGTGTTTCATATTTTACCTTCAGGCTATTTTCCAAATACAGAAATTTTTTGACTGATAAGGCACTAATAATTACTTAAGATTATTATAGGTCCCACTAGTCATGTGATCTTGGGTAAATTAACTTAACCCTTTTGATTCTCAGTTTTCTCACCTAAAAAGTGGAGATAATAGTACCAATCTGTGCTAGACTATGGATTGTCCCTCAGTATCCTTGCTCCACCTAGTTTTTTGCCCAGGGAGGTTCTCTGGCCTTTCAGCTTCTGGTTGGGTTAGGTAAGTAGTATTAGCAAAAGATCAGAGTATGGAAAGAAAGCAAAGCTATTTTCTGGTTTCCTCCCTAACAGGTCACCAAGTGCTGGGTATATCCTTCTATCAGATACAGTCCTCTCGATAGGAGAGGACTTTAGGCCTACATGTGGTAATGGTTCCCTTTAGCCCTCGAGTTGGTACCATTCATTGGTGACTTCCATAAACCCTGCCCTTACCTTTAAAAACAGTTCTCTTATTAAACTGTTCTCAAATAACCCAGTTTGAAAGTGCCATGTGTTTTCTGCCAGAACTCTGTGTGACTCATAAACAACCTCAGGGGTTGTTTTGGGATTACATGAGATACTATATGTAAAGTGCTTAGCTCAGTGCTTAGCAGATTATAAATATTCAGTAAATGTTGACTACTATTGTCATGATCAATATTGCTGTTATTATTATTTTATTTGAGTATCCATACTCATACCATCTATACCAACCAAATTTATTCAGGAGACAGAAATTCAGAATTCTGGAGATCTTTTACTAATTCTTGCAGTGCTTCAAAAATGTAAATTGTGTTTATTTCTAATCAACCTCAATATTTAAAAAAGAGTAAGAGGATGCACAGGATTTCCTAGACTGCCGTTTCTTTTGTAAATATGCTTCAGAATTCATTTCCTACAAATTGACCTTCTGCCACCACTCCAAATCTAGCAAGTATAAATGTCCATAAAGTTAAATAAATTGTTGGGTCTTGGGGTCATGAAAAGAATGGACTGAATGATATACTCAATGGCACAAAGTCCTTGGTTAATCTGGAAATGCATCTTCATCATCCTTATTTATCATCATGACATAGGCAAGCATCTCCATTTGACAAAGTATTTCATCAAAATCCTATTAAAGGTCTACTTAACCTTTCATCTTACCTCATCCTTTATATCTTCCTGTTGTTGGGCAGTGAAGATCTCCATTGCAGCCATGAGTCTCATCATTAACTCATCCACTGTTGTGTTACCTAGCAACACATAGAGATTGCCAAACTTTACATTAGTAAAGTTATTATAAAATGGAAAGTCATTCTAGAATTAATCATTAAGGAACAACTATAGTCTAATAAAAACGACAGACTACTATACTAATATCTAGTTAAAATACTTCCATTTTTCATTGAAAAGTTTCATATGTTCACTGTGAAAGAGTAAAGCAGTATACAGGCATTTGAAATTTCAAATACAGTAGATTTGAAGGAACCATCTGTTAATAAGAGTTTCAGCTCTATGAAGAAGAATATTCGAGAAATGAGAATCTAAAGTTCTTTAAAGTTATAGAAACATATCTACTTAAAAATACTAGCAACAACTACCATTTATTTATATGCCAGTAGTTAGGCTTAGCATTTTATATATATTATCCCACTTAATCTATGCAACAATTCTTTGAAGGTATCATTAGGATTTTGACTTTAGAGAAGGAAAATGAGGCTTTGAGAGTTGGAGTAGCCTGTGCAATCAAGGTCAGGCTGATTAAATGGTGGGATGAGAATTTGAAACTAAGTGAGTCTAACTTATTAAAAGTCTTTTTTCCACCTCAATACACTATTTAGAATTATCACCTATCATTAAAAATTCTTTGGTGAAGCAGAGAGTAATTCATTTTCTGAAAAAAACGGAGTTCTTTTTTTTGCCCAACTGGCATTTTTCTCTTTCAGCTGCTTTCAAATGACTATACTATAAACTTTATGAGTATTTATTTAAGTTTTAATTTTAATTCCAGTTAGTTATCATACAATGTTATATTAGTTTTATGGGAGTATTAAAATGTTTGACTTTCCTTAACACTATTTTATTCCCTGCCCAAGGCCATAACAAACATATAGCAGAAATATGCCATTTCCTGAGAGCACTCTCCTATTGCTTGCTTTGGATACATCTACAACAGAGAAATCTATAGAGATATATAAAAGTATAGCAATTCTTCTCTTCTTTCAAAACTACAAAGAACCTATCTTTCTCCAGGGCCTGAGGTCTTTCTGTCCCATTAATGAAATAGGTCAACAAGTAGCAAGCATCCTTGTTGGTGTTATTCTGGAGTATGACTAACATGGTCTTTTCCCCCCCCTTTTTTTAAAGAAGATTTCATTTATTTATTTGACAGAGAGAGACACAGAGAGAGAGGGAACACAAGCAGGAGGAGTGGGAGGGGGGAAAGCAGGCTTCCTGCTGAGAGGGAGCCCAATGTGGGGCTTGATTCCAGGATCCTGGGATCATGACCTGAGTGGAAGGCAGATGCTTAACCAGCTGAGCACCCAGGTGCCCCTAGCATGGTCTTTCAGTGGTCTGTTTCTCAACTTTTCTTTTGACCATTGGCAGCACGTTAGGGAGCGTGTGTGGTCCTCAACAAAGAAAATTTAGTCACATCAGTACCACTCTCTCAATACATGAGCTAGAGAACAAATATTACCTTGGTGTGATATCATGGTACTGAGAAAGCACCACTGGTTTTGTAGTCATAGTTCTAATTCTAGTTCTGCCACTTAGAAACTATATGATCTAGTACCTAGAAACTGCCTAGCATGTGACAAGGGCTTAATAGATATCCACTTAGTAAATAAATAAATAAGTGGATGAGTGACTGACTATAGCTCCTTAAAAATCAATTCCCTTATCAGTAAAATGAAGATAATACTACCCCTGTTATAGTATACATAAGCAGTGGTAGTTATTGTGAATAGATATAACAAATGCAAAAAGCTTACAGGTACCTTCAACGTAGATTTGGATACTGGGCAAATCTTTGAGTTTCCCTTTCTTATTTGCAAACTGTAGTGACTAACACTCAGAGCATGGGATATGAATTCCTTATGGAGGGTACTAGAAATGTGGTTACATACTGGCCATTCGTTTTCAGGCTTAAGCCACTGCTTATCAATTATGCTTCAGCGCTAACGGTAAGGACTCACTACCAAACTGGACAAGACAGAGAAAAGGTACCAGTTAATACAGTTCCAGACAAGTTTTTTCTTTATAACCTACTGTAGTGGTTTTCAAACTTCTGTTTTCAAAACTTGTTTACACTGTTAACAACTACTGAGATTCTCAAATAAGTTTTATGTGGGTTATTTTTATCAACATTTACTGTGTTAGAAATTGAAGGTGAAATACTTAAAACATATTTATCAGTTCATTAAAAGTAACAATAAACCCATTACATGTTGATATAAATACCAGATTTTTATGAAAAATGGCTCTATGTTCCAAAGGAAAAAGTTTAGTGAGAAGAACAGTATTGTTTTAACATTTTTGCAAATGTTTTTAATGTCTGGCTTAATAGAACATAACCGGATTCTCAAATCTACTTCTATATTAAACCAATTACATTATGTTGTCTTATGTCTTAGTTGAAATTTATGAAGCAAATCTGGCTTCACATAGATATACAGTTGAAAACGGGAGGAGTATTTTTATTTATTTGTTTGTTTGTTTTAAGATTTTATTTATTTGAGAGAGAGAGAAAGAGGTCAGTAGGAGAAGCAGACTTCTGCTGAGCAGGGAGCCCGATGTGGGACTCAATCCCAGGACTCCAGGATCATGACCTGAGCCGAAGGCAGTTGCCTAACTAACTGAGTCACCCAAGCACCCGGAAGAATATTTTAATAAATAACTGTAAGTAGTCTTTGATACACCCAAACTGACAAGAGGAAATTTCTTCAAGCATGTGAGAAATTTGAAACCATTAATGAACTTCTTATACTTTGTTGTATTAAGATCCACTGACCTATCTCGCTCTTTGAAAGGATCTTCTACCTATGTGTGATTTTAAAATATCATGCCCTGGTCATGTGCAAAATATTGATTTACTGACTTATGCATTTATCTTTAATGTTATATGAGCTGATGTCATCAGAAAATTATTTAAGCTGTCAATCCCATGGTGGAGGATATAACATTTTGCTTAAAAGCTCAAATTTTATCATCAGCAAAAAGTACTGTCAGTTCACTTTTCTTGAAGTGATAGACTCACTTTGCTCATTCTAGAGAAAAGTTTCAACAAATATCCAGGCTATCTAAGTATAGTTTGTTCATCAGTTATTTCCAAGTAAAAATGATGTTCTGTAAGAAAAAAATGACTAGTAGTTCAGCTCAAGCAACCACACAAGTGCTCTTCTTTGAGACTACCTTTGTACTCTGAAATGCAGGAGAAATACATTTTCTATACCTCTAGTTCTATCACACAAACTATAAAAAGGGTTAAAATTTAATAAAAAAGTTTTTAATTGCACATAAGGGAGGTAAAGAATATGACTACTAGTGTAGTTTTGGTCATGACCTTGGTTTCGTGTGAAGGTGCCAGCAGTTTTACACAACACTGATTTTGTGTGCCACCAGTGCAAATGTCAACACAATAAAAAAAAAAAGGCAAAAAGGAAAAGTCTTTTTACTGTAATGAAAATAATTTGATCTCACAGATCCACTGAAAGGGTCTAGAGGACCTCCAGAACCACGGACCATATTTTAAGAACCACTATCATAATATTGCCTCTGACAGGGAAAACAGGAATGAAATATTATTTTCATTATCCATTTACAGTATGCAATTCATTACCTCCGCAGATCTTCTTTAGCATTGTTTATGAAACTCAATGGTCTAGTTACAGAGCAAACATAAAATACCAGAGGTTTTGAGTTTTAAAGGCACCAGAATTTATATCACATACTCTATCATATTATCTGCTATAGAACTTCTGACTTAAATAGGGGTAAAAATAAAGTATCTCAAACACAAGCTTTAGTTGGGGCACTTGAAACAACTTTTCCCTTGGGGCATAAAAAAAGATATACTGTTTTCAATTTAAGCTGTGATATAAATAAGGTAGTATTTTATAATAATCCTTGGGGTTTATAAGTAACAGTAAAAAAAAAATCATTCACTTTATTTTGGTAGAGAATATGCAATGCGATTAAATTCATAGGCATCCTATAGCGTCAAGCCTTAGCGCTGCATCCTAGAAACAGATTCATACAATTAAGGGGAAACAACTACCACTGTGTGAACAATTAATTTGCCATATCCAGTCACTGGCTTTTCTAGATAACTAAAGCATTTCTTTCAACTAATCAACATTACAGCAAGAAATCAATACATGTATAAGAAATGTCATATTTGACAACTGACTATGACTTGATTGCTAGTTTAGAGAACTTAGCAATTATGAACATTTAACATGATTATGCTGGGTCCAAAGGGTTGTGCAACTTTATTAAGAAATTTCTGTTAGATTTTTATGCAGCATATTTCATTTTTCATAGATCCTATACTTTTTGAAGATGTTCTTCTTTAGGATATTCTATGTTTGAAAATACAAAGATGTTCACCCATACAGAGAGTTACAGTCAACTTTGATGGTAAATATTATAAGGTTATCACATACACAAGAAGATACTCTACTCCCCTTGTGACATGTACTTTACCTTGTATCACATTTAACACTTCATTAGATGATCGCTTTCCCATAATAATCAGAAAAAGTGGAAACTGATCTGTTTTTTGAGTCCGAATGGTTTGTGCAACAACACTGCCAAAATGTCTATTGCACATTGTCAGAAATCTAAAATGAGACAAAAGCCAAAGTAAGTATCATTTCAGACTTTAATAAATTTACTAGTATCCTAACAAAAAACTCACTAGGTACTTTACTAATTATGTTAGTAATTAGATAGCCTGTCTGATATCAATATATAAACGCTTGCTATATTGAGTTTTCAACTACATCTTAAATGATATAGAAATGACTATCGTATAGAAAAGCAGGAAGCACACCCTAAATGCTGTCTGGGGCTGACAGCACAGGATTCTTAGTCTTAAACACTGTGAACTATACTGACCTAGACTATGAGAAAAACAAACAAACTGAATTTTAAGAGGAAAAAATTTCTTAAATAGGACAAATATTGTATGGTACAAAGTTAAATTAGACTAGTATCCTAGTCTAAACAGGATTTAGCAACATTTTCACAAGTCTTTAGAATCAAGAATTGTACTTTAGAATTGTGTTTTCTCCAGTAGTAGCAGGTCTTCTGGTTTCATACTTACCATGGGATAAAAATAATAATTCTAAGCTTTTGACCAAAAAAAGCCCAGAGATATTAGCATACTGAAGTCTAGCATTAGTATTCTTAACACGATCTGGAATAAATGAAAAAACTGATAAAGCTTTTCTCTTCTATTAGAGGACTGTTTGAAATTAGCATTTCTTTCAAGAGAAAAGGGTAGCTTATGATATGTTTTCAGATCTGATGGTAAAAAGTAAATGTCATAATAATAATGAATTATGAAAGACCAAATGCAAATATAGAATGCTTTAATAAGATCCAATTTAATAAAGTCTGTAAAAATAATGGACTTTTAATAACACAGGTCACAAAAGGCAAAACAGTGGAAATTCTGGGGACTAGCCACTGGTACTGGCTTATTAATTCTTAATTATGTTCATGAAAGGCAACTTAAATCATGTGTTTTCTTATGCCTTATGATAATATTTTAGGTAACAACTACTCTGAAATGTATGTTCTAGCTGATGAGCAAAATCCTGTTGTCACATGCATTAGAAGGTAAATCTATTTGAAAAGACAAACGGCATTAAAATGTCATGTGCTCAGATTCATTTGATAACCAAATTCAAAACAGAATCAAACCTCTTAATTTTTAAAGCCAACATATCTCTTGTCTATAGAAATTCATTCTAGAAATTTAGGCTGAATCCTCCACAAAACCTGTGCTGTGACTATATAAAGTAGACCATGTTAAGGGCCACGAGATCTGTCAGCAAGAGTGTCAAGACAAGTTAGCACCACTGCAATAAGTTCATTGGGAGGCAGTTTCATATTTACATTTAGAGCAGCAATAACCAGACCTCATGGCAATTTGAAAGGACATGGCCCTAAGAAATCCATTGTTGGCCATGAAATATCAGTGCTCCCGTGAAAATTCAGATCTTCACATTCCAGAACTATGACACGATAAAAGGTGCTCAAGCAGCCTAAGCCTCTGGTACCAAATTTCACATCCATATAGCTTTAATTCATCAAAGAGATGTGTAGATCAGGACACTAGAAAGTTAGGATCTCATTTTTCTTCCTGCTCTTACGAAAATACTTGAAGTCAATCTTGATCCTGATTTGATCACTGTCAACCTCTGAATTTAAAGATGTAAAAAACAGTTGGAATGTCATTCCATACCAAAGGGAGAAAATAAGTCCTTGTTGATTTCACACCAATGGATTAAGTGGCTATCACACAGTAGATGCCCATCATAGCACTAGCCTTACAAATGATATTAAATACTATCTAAACAGGATATACCCACAAAAGGAAAGGAGGAAAGAAGCCAGGAAGGAAGGAAGGAGAGAAAAGGAAAGAAAGAGAAGACAGGCAGGCAGGCAGACTGGCTAGCTTAGTGGTTTGAAGAATTCAATTTCAATATAATTTTGCCTGGAAACTGTGTACTTCCCAAATCGTCTTTTTATGAAAATGAGCTAGAAGGGAAAATAATTATGAAAATATAGGTATCTTATGGGTTTGAATTAATATACAACACAAATTTCAAAACTTCACAAAACATATTCAAGACAGATATAGCCTTCAAAGGCACATTAGCTGTTCAATTAACTATAAAAGACAACAAAGTGATCAGTTTTTTACCAGGTATTGGCAAATCATTCTAATGTTTTAGAAGTAGTTGAGAAATATACAGGGATCCCACAGCCAGTTGATGCTTTCTAGTGGCCTTAACTAATAATTTGTTCTAATCAAAGAGAGACTTTGTTAAAATTTTAATTAATCTAATTAACTTCCTAAGATCTGAATCATGTTTACTTTCAGATTTTCAAATTACAATCCCTGAGAGCCTGGGCCAATGGACAGCCCCAAATTACAAAATTCCTACTAATCAGTTCCTTCCAATATAATTTACAAGAACTTCACAACACAGATATCAAATCTTTCTCATCGCTGGAGGATTCTGCTTCTTCCTCTCAACATCATTCACAGCACAAAGTTACCATTCACAGCACACTACCAACTGCAAAAATCCAGTTCAAAACATTAGCACAAAAATAGACAGGGGAAAAACAAATTGTTTCAAGAGAAAAAATGTGGTTCTCATAACTGCGTCATTTTTTTCCTTTTTAAGAGAGAAAAGTGTGCTGGTGCATCTATTGGCAGCACCAAACTTGTCAGCCTAACTTATAATGGTGTTCATGAGTCAGTTGTCTTGAAGGGATAAATGGTTTCTACAGCAACTAGATTCCTGAAATCTCAAAACCAAAAGAGGAAGCAATGGCAACTGTTCTGTGTCAAGGAGAAATGGCTTTGTTTTTTAATTTTAAAGGACTTAAATAAATGAAACAACCTACTCATCATATACCTATTTGAGGAGAGGGAATAAGTTGCCAAATCAACCCCCAAAACCGAAAGCTAAAATGATAAATCTGAAAAGACAAAGAACAAACGCCCTCACTAAGAGGGTAAAATAAAGGCGGGAGGAAAGGGTGTAGAGAGGAAGGGGAAGAAGAATGAAGGTTGAGAAAATGAATGAAAAGAAAAATGGTTAATCACAAATCAGGTATAATAAAGCAACTCATTGGTCCCTGGGGGCTGGGTGGTGGTAGTGGTGGTCTCAGTGAGTGAAAAGTCTCAAACTTCTGCCTTGCTGAAGAAACAAAATGTAATTAGTAGCTCATATTCACTAGTTCTTGTTATTAGAAATCTAAAATTAGAAAGATACAATCATCTTTTAATCTTAAGTTTGGGGAGAAAAATAAGCAGAACATCTAACAGCTAGCATGTATTAATCATTAGTAAAATTTCAGTCTCTGAAGCATAGATCTTTTCTATCTTGCTAATGGAAACCAGGATTACTAATAAGTCAGATATGAGAAAATGTAATCTCATTTTAATTCAAACCAGGATATAGTTTAGTTTCTTTCAAAGTCATAATTAAACAAGTCACTGACTTTTACTAAGTTATACTCCAACATAAAATATATACTAAAAGAAACAGCAAATTAGGGGGAGAGTAATGAAATTCTGCAAACATTTACCACCTGCAATATACCAAGTAATGTAAAAGAAGGCACATCTGATAAAAAATGGAAGCCAAAAACTTGCTAATGACTCTGTGTGAGGTTTCCTGATTATAACTTTTCAATACGACCTCCAAAGGACCCTTAGATGTAAAATGGGAATAACACTTACTTTTAAAACACATATTCTTGTAAGATACAAAAAATTTACTCAGAATTATGCTCAAATTATGCCCTTAACATTGGTAGCTATTTTATTATTAACTGCATAATTATATTTAACATTTTTATCACAACTACTTTCAGGATTAAAATGACAGCTTATATCTATGGGCCAACACTGAAAGATGCTTTGCATAAAAAGAATTGCTGACTAAAAAAAATAATCATTGGTTTTATTTTCATTTAGAGAATGAAAGGGTAAGTATTAATATTTGGAAAATAAGAAAATACATGATGATGCAGCTGTGTGACACTACAAAACTTTACATGTTTGAAACTTTACATGTTTGAAATCAGGTGAGCCAAAGAATTTTGTCTCCTAGCACATTATTTCTGTGAGATGCAATGCCTATCCAATTGCTCATTTCTGGAGTTCCCATTGGGAATGACCTTCAGCATCCCTGACATATACCCCTTTGTCCTTTGAGGGTGGCTTTGATTTTTAGAAATAGTCTTACATCTGGTTCAAACTGAGTTAGGTAAACAAGGTACATGACTAAGTTGGGAGACACTAACTATGTAGTCCGTGATCTTCAAACTTTAAAGGCTTAGGAATTACCTAGGTAGTTAAAAAAATTATTTTTTCAGGATTAATTAATTAATTTATTTTGAGAGAGAATATGCTAATGCATGAGTGGGAAGGGCAGAGGGAGAGAGAGACAGAATCTGAAACAGACTCCACGCTGAGCGCAGAGCCCAACATGGGGCTCTATCTCATGACCCTGAGATCATGAGCTGAATCAAAACCAAGAGTTGGTTGCTTAACCCAATGCACCACCCAGGTGCCCCTAGGGAGTTTATTCTAAAAGGAAAGTTCCTCTGCCCCATCCCTCAAAGATTCTGATTCAGAAGATCCAGGGAAAGGCCCAGGAAACTGCCTGTTTTAATAAGCTACCAACCTACCCATGTGATTTTGATATAGGTGATTAATGGACCACACTGAGAAACACTGTTTTCAGGACACAGGACTGCTTTCCTTGTAAGGCTTTAAGCTATCTCAATGCAGTTCTTTAAGAAGTGGTCCCCAAAATGTTTTGGGCAATGGCAGCTTCAGCGGAGCATGAAGCTAGTCTCCTGAGGTGATAACCACAGTGAAGATGTTAATTCTCACTTGCTTCATTTGTGTAGGTGAGCTGCAATATCTCTGAGACAAATAAAAGTATACCTCTAAAGCCTGTGAGCTATAGTTGATAGAGGAAAACAGAGCAGGGAAGGGGAGGCTGCAACATAAAATAGGGAACATCTCACTGAAAAGTTGGTATTTGGTTAAAGACTCAAAAGCGGTGCAGGAAGTGAAACACAA